TTTGAGTTCTTAAGAGATATGACTGCATTTCTGACTTCTTTTTCTGACATTTCTCTTAGAAACATTGACTTGAGCTGTGTAGAATTAGTTTTTGTTATTTTATTATTAGCGTTATTGTTGTGGGTCATGTTAATAAAAAAGTTGTTAAATTTATTTGCTATATCGGTTGGGTCAGTTAAAATTGTATTGTTATCTTTTATATTAATAATATTAATATTTTTTGTATTATTACCTATTTCATTATTTACAATTGTCCACGAAGCTTTGCATTTATTTCTGCTAGTTTTAATTAAATATGTATTTCTAATTTTTTTTGACGTGTAAATACATTTTTTCAAATTTTTTTAATAACTTGTGTAAATACGTTTACTAAAGATGTCTTTGTTTATATAATGTTTATATCTAAGTAATCTTTTCCGTTTGCAACTAATCCTTAGTCCTTTGCTTATCCATTTAGCTTTATTGTATGTGTTGTTTATTTTTATTTTCATTTGTGGGAAACAGAGATTGTAGAATAGGAGAAATAAGTCATGGAATTTTTCAAATGCTCTATTTGTATTGGTTTCTTCTAAAATGTCACTAAATGTAAGACAGCCAAGATAGCCATTAAATTTTTCTACATTTTCAGAGCAGTAATCTCTTTTATAAACGAAATAGGACCTTGGGTTTTGTTTTACAGATTTAACCGGTATTTTCAACATTTGGGCAGTGTTGTGATCTGATAAACAAAGCGGTAATATGACTGGTATTGCTGTTTTAATATTACTTAACATATGATCAATACAAGACGATTTTCGGGTAGGCTCTTTAATATGCATCGTTATATTATAATTTAGTGCTATATCATTTAACATAATTGTAATTTTGTTAGATTTTAACGTGTTAATATTGAAGTCTCCTGTCAACACAATTTTCTTTTTATATCCATATTTTTATAAAGGATACTAAGCAGGCAATTTATCTTGTTTAAAAAATAATTAACATCACTTCTTGGGGTTCTATATAGATTTATAATAATAAGGTTATTTCCTGACATTTCAATGCCGCAACATTCAAAATGTTTTTCTATAGCATATTCATTTAAAAACAATATTTTATTAAAAAGCAATTTTTTTTTACTAGGATGCAAGTTCCACCTCTTTTTTCGAATCTACAAAAACTTGCTCCTAATGTATAGTTATTTAATTTAAAGAAATTTTCCACCCCTTTTTCTATGAACGTCTCCGATAAACAAATAATATCTGGTTCGTTATTTTTTTTCGCGAGTTCTAATATAGTAATTTCTAAAATTTCGTTTTTAGCTGTTGCACTTGCTATGTTTTGATGTAGGATATTTAAGTATTTACTTGAGGTCCTATTAGACTGAGGCACGAAAAAAGTCACTCTTCTTTTTAAGAGGAAAGTAAAAAGGTATAGTACCTTTTTGTTTTGACTTACTATTTGCGGTTGGTTGGACTGGCCCGTTACATGATTCACTTACGCTTATTATTTTCTCCTTAACACATGTTTCATTCCAGCATCTGATTGCCTCTACGATTTGAAGGATATCGTTAAATATTATTTTTGTGCCATAGTTATTCACATTGCCCGTGTACATATCAAACATTGTAAAGTCGTATCTAAGGTGCAAGTTTGAGTCTACAACATAGGCGTATTCGTGTTTTACATTGTCTTTGTGAAGCAAATTATTGAAAGATTCAATCCTCCAGTTTAATAAGTTAGAATACTTTTTATACCTATATGTTGGCAAACAAATAAGAACATTAGTGTGTGAGATTTTATATAATATTTTTCTTATATAATTTACTAAAGAGCGACAATTAATTGATCTTTCGAAATCGTTGCTTCCTAAAAGTATAACACAGTAATCGTTCATTGTAAAATTTTTTAATTTTAAATCTATGTTTAATAACAACTCCTCTATCCCAGAACCAGGCTTACAATAATGGCAGAAACTATAATTATGAAATTTGATTTTTATATGTGATAATATATTATTGTTGTTGTCACAACTAAGAACACATACTTTGTTATTCGGACTAGGTGTGTAAGATAATGGAACCATAGTCTCCATCTCTTCCTTCCTCTGGTCTACATTGGGTGTACACATGTGTAAGTGTTCTAGGCTTCCCGATAACGTTGATTTTATTGAACTAAATGGTACATTATTTGGTAGCAAACACAACTCTTTTACATTAATTAATTTAATATAGTTTCGCAGAGAATTCAATTCTATAAAAGTTTTTTCCAGTTCATTCTCTAGACAAGAAATTTTATTTTTTAAAGTTGCTATTAGCTGCTCCTTAGCGGGACTTGCGTTAGGGGTACTATTTAACATTTTATAATTTTTTTTATGTTTATGGCTTAGTGTAGGTGAATTTCCAAACTTGATAAGACTAGCGTTTTTCCTTCTGTATGTTTGTAGTTCTTCTTTTAGCTTTACGTTTTCCGACAGTAACTCTTCAAATTCATTTTCAGTAATTTTTTTTGTTGTTTTTGCATTTCAGTCAATTGTAATTTATGTTCTTCTAATTCCTGGTACACATTTGTATTTAAGATAGGGCAGCTCCGGTTTAACAAAGTGGATGATAGCGATGTTCCTTCGTCGTCATCCGGTAGAGAGGCAAAAGAGTTTTCGGTGGTGACATTTACGTGATATTTTTTCGTTTCGGTAATGTGTTCCATGTTTTCAGAGAGTACAGTAGAGTTTGATGTATTATAAATACAAGTACTTACTTTTTGTGAAATGTCGCTGTTAGGTTTCGAAAAACTTTGTGATTTCTGCACTTTTTGCATTTCCATTTACTTCGTATTGTAGGCTTCATCATCCGATAGACTTTTTCGGGATAGCCCTCACAGTCAAATTCGAACGAGTGCTTACATATTGAACATTGCATAGTGTCTCTTGAATCTACATATTTTTTGCATATATGGCATTTTACTAGAAGTTTATTGCTGTTGGAAATATTCTCTTTTGATGACATTTGCGCCATCTAGAAGGGATTCTCACAGAAATTCTTTGTAACACTGTAAACAGTGATCTCTAGCGGATAATGCGAAAACTTTCTCTCAATTAGCTCAGATAATTATATTAGACAAACAAGTCGCATGCTCAGTAATGGACAAATACCAAGAAGTTCAGTAAGTATTAAAGAGATGTCGCTACGTGAGTATGTCTGATGTAAACAAAGTATAGGTAAGTATGAATCAACAATCAATGTTATGATCCGTTAAATATTGCAATTTAAAATTAGGCACAGATTCACTTTAAGTTTAATATTTTTTCAATAATTGCTTCAATAAGCACTTCACATTTATTGTTTATAGTAAATATTTTGCTAGGAAATATTATTATTTGAGGAGATATATAATGTTTATTTTAAAAGTTAAATATTGTCACTTAGCACCATTAGATTTAGATTTCGGCACAACCACTTTTACACAATATTTGTATCCAATGTAACACTTTTATCACAATTTTAAGTCTATATACGTAAATTTCGAATTTTTGAAATTAAAATAACACAGAGCCGATGTTGACAACGTCGCGCCCTTTGTCCTAGAAAAACTTGCATTTTGCAACAAACAAACATTGCTTCATGTGATTGAAAAATTCGTTTGCTCGACAACAAAAACCACGCAATGTATGTTGTTAAACTGTCAAATTGGTATGGTTTGCTATTTTAGGTGTGTTACGCAATTAGGCTATGTATTTAATTTCTATAATTATATGAAATAAGAACAAACTCATATTAGTAAAAATATCGATATCAGCTGCCCATGTTGCTGAGTTACAACCCTATAAAAGGCGGCCATTTTATGCGCCAGATTTGTCATATACTGTCAGATACTTCCAAGTCAGTGATTTATACAAGAAACAAAATTGTCCCAAAAATAAACATTTGTGATACGCCCATTTGTAGCTCAAAACCTATAGAATTTACGTCATTAATCTGAACTTTTTGAAACCTGTCACTGAGATTGAAATCCAACAAACGAAGGGCTTGTTCGCTTATGTCGTGGTATTTTAATCTATAAAGTAGTGTTGCATTAAGCATCTAGTACGCCCTTTAGTAAAACCAAACTGATTATAATGGAGTATTTGCGTTAAATAAGGATATCATCTAGTTTAAAATCAACTTAGTGTAAAAAAGTATCTTAATGCTGTTGTATTTCGTATGGTAATTGTAAAAAAGCTGAGACTGTTTTTACTGGAAACGAGGCATTCCATCTTAGTCTTCAGGATAAACAACGCATTTGCATTTTGATTTTGCACTGCACTATGAGCTTGTTCGTCACCCATATTTTATAAAAAAAAAAAACTTGTCAAGTACGTAAGTGCCGGTAGTATTGACAGGCCTAAAGTTGCCGAAGTTTAGAGTCAACAGATTTAAAAAGTAGAAGTATCTTATTGTATTTCATTTGATCAGGAAATATGTCTTTATCACCACATTCATTGAATATTATTGTAAAATATGGCACCTTTATATTTAGGACCTTTTTATTCATGGCGCATACTAACATGCGTGAAGTTAAACTTTTTTTACATATATTAGATAGGTATCAACCCTCCACCTCCCATGGCCCCACCGACCCTCAGGTCATACGGGCCGAATCTCGGGAGATGCGCGCATTACTTGCACGTGGCTCTTTCCCGCGCGCAGTCTTTACTCTCTACAAATATTTCATCTATTCATTGTCCCAAATTTTACGTCATACTCCCTTTTCTGGGGTTGACGGTACTATAACGCCCACGTCGTCGGAAATGTTGGTAGGGGAGAGCCCAACAACTAGATAGGTATCGTTAAAGGAATATGAAACAAGAGATGGGCAGCAGCATCTTCCTGATAACAACTCAAAATATTAACAAACTGCGGTTTGCCTACTCGCCTGCCAAGCGTGGCAACTATGGCAAATATTCAATTCAAAAAAAGGCAATCTATGGGGGAGGCCGCTGTGGATTTTAATAGGCTGTAACGGTAACGGACGTATTTTTACAGGAGTGTACCCGGATCTGGTCCGGTTGGCGGCGAGCGCCCGTGCGGCCGGCGCGAGCGCTGCGCTGCGGGAAGCGCTGCTGCAGTTCGCGGCGCTGCTCTCCGCGCCCGCGCCGCCGCTCTAGCGCCGAGTGCTCTACACCATACGCATATAGAGCACGCGCCTCTAGCGGCCCCGTATGTACCGGCCACGCTACTCCATACGCTTCAGTACACTACACTACACTAAGCTACAGTACACTACATTACACTATTCTTAACTTACCGCCACACTCAGTGACTTCTATAATATATGGACTGGCTATACACCGTGACATAATGAGGGGATTTGATTTTCGCCATATTGGCGCTGACAGCAGAAGTGAGCGTCCACGGAACTAATAATAGAGCTAGAAAGTGTGACAAAATATATCGATAAAAATTCTATACCCCCAGGCCTACCCGTAACGTCCATTCTATTGATGTATTATATTAATATAATGCCATACAATAAATAAATGTATCTATTAATACCTAGGCCTTAGACGCAAACTTTATGTCCCATATAAAACTAAGATCGAAACTACAGAACGGATTTTGTTCCGGGTTGCAAATGAGGAAATGCCTATGCATACCCGCTTCGCGGGGGAAAGAAAGGATTATGTCGGACTCGCACTTATTAAAACCCCTATGGTGTTCCACCTTTGCCACACATTGACAGGGCCACGGAAATGCTTTCAAACACATTCGCGGCCCCACCAGCGAGGACCCCTCCTTAGTTGAGGACTTCTCGTCCCCCTTCTCCTTCTCAGATAAAGCGCACCAGGAACACAAGGCGTACTGCCCTTTGCGGCCTCTTCACATGCACAATGGACTTCCCGAGCCCGATTAGTGGAGGCCATGGAGGCAGGAAAAAATGAGCACTTGGAAGCACCAAGTGGTATAGCCCCGCGAAAGTCTAGTCGGGCCATACCAACAATCCTCTTCCCTTGCGACTCCACCTTGGCGGCAGCAATATAGAGCGAGGTCTCTCTAGCCGCAGCCCGCTAACACATATCTAAGGGCTCGACAAGCCCACTCAGAGTGGCCACCTTGGGCCAGGCTTGGGGATAAGGCGGGAACCCGTTCAGGGAGGAGCTATTTCTCACGTAAACTCACTAAGGACATTAATAATTTTGCAGTCCCAATATAAATGTATTCCCTTTATATAATAAATTGGTCATATTTAAACAGATTATTAAATTTACGTCTTGTAAACACAAAGTCATCATCAGGCAAACTTTCTACACTTGGCTATGACCTTTGAGTCTGGGGGAAAATAAGGTGAGAAGAAATAGAAAACATTAGAAATAATAATCTAATACTTTTATACTTACTGGTCCTGGGACTACCAGAAAATATTGTGGGTATACTGCACTTTTTCCAAAGTGGTGCGTTTCTCTTGTCTAATAAGAGTCGTCTGTGAGGCATTTAAAACAAAGACAATCGGACAATTTTTCGGACGCCAATTCAGAATTTTTTGCTTTTTAGGCAAAATTTTAGTCTAGGTTCAGTAGGAAACCCGTTAATTCTTTTTTCTTTTTTTTCTTATAAACATTTGATAATTATCTGTTGTCGGCGACTTTGGTTACTAACGGATATGGGTAAAAAAGAACATCGATAAGTATTATAGACAAGAAACTCTACAACCCTATTGAATTCAATAATATAGAGCAATAATATAAATCAGTAATATAGAGCCAAACATGTTGATAATTACGATATTAAGATTAGTAACAAATTTTTAGTACGTTATCAAATAGTTTTAATTTGTTTAATATTAGTTGTAAATTCATTTACTTGTGGAATGTTATCTCACTTTACTTTTGGTAACGAGTTTTACATATTACGCATTTCTCATTATTACCAAATATAATTCTTATTATGTAACTAAAATAAAACATAACCAAACCACTTTAATAATACTTTAACAATTTTAACAATAATTTCATTTTTTAGTTTATAAGTTCAAAATACAGAAATACGATTTAAATAACACAACAGACTTTGGGATATTAAGTCAATTTTAGTTCCCAGTACGAACAATGAGGGTATTTCAAATCGGCATAATAATTTTGTATGGTATAGCCAGTCCAGCGTACTTGTATTATAGAGGTCATTGGCCACACTACACTACGGCTACATTACTCTGCACTACACTTCACTATATCAGACTGCACTAAATTATAGTACACTTACACTAATGTTGCACTAGCTCTGCTCTCAGCTCTGTGTTTTTAATTTTATAAAATTACACTTAAGAATCTCCATCTCAAAAATGCAGCCCTACAAAAAATATTTACAAATTAACTGTTTTTATCAATATTTACATGTTACAATAAGTTTATACCTACTTTTTTATTGCTATTACAATGCTATTAAATGCTTTGCTTGCAGCATTTTAGCAGTCATCCATGACGCTGTAGCGGCCGCCTAGTTCGTCGCCATAGACTACTAAATGCCACCAAATAAATACATAAGTAGATTCTTCATTACAATGCATTTATACGATTCGAATAATGCCTTGTACTTCCTCTACGTTTTTGTATATTAATAACTTTATTTACTTGGCACATTTATTTTTGTATCATGCCAAGTTGAAGTTGATACTTGAGATATAATGTAATTTAATTTTAGTACACAGAGTAATGTTGATGTTGCTGCTGACTCTTTGTCATATTTTAAAATAAAAAATACGCAATATATTATAATATTAGGGAGTTCAAATTGTATAGTTTGCAACATTGTACACCATGAGTAATTCTCAAAAGTCTGTTTGTTTTAAAGTCGTATCGTATAATATTATCGTATCAATGTTTGGCAGATGTCAAATGTTGCCACTGTGTAAATTAATTAATTTAGTACATAATAAAATGTATTTAATTTGTATATATTGAAAGTAAATGTTTCCAACACCATAACAAAATTTCGTTAAATAAATTAAGTGTAATATTTTAAAATCATATTATTTTTAATAATCATTTAGGTACAATAAATATTACGCAGAGGTATATTTATTTCAACATAATTTATATTTAATTTTATCTTAATATGATAATACTTTCTTGTCTGCTGAATTTTATAGAACGTGCTTGAATAAAAACAAAATAGGAATTCCCTTATCCTATAGTTATTAGTTATTAGGCAATTCATAGAACACGCGTTTCTATTGTGTCATAATATAACTAAGTATTCATAGTTTTAGCTAAGTTTTATTTAATGAACTACACTACGTACTATCCATTAAATAGAAATAAACTTTTTAGCTGTTTCGCCATCAACTAATGCTATATAAGGATTAATTAGCTGCTTTTCTATTTTAGATTTTTTTCCAAAAACACTGTTTCACGTAATAGCATTTTGTAGATCAAATAAATGAATTTAGCGCATTATTAAGGTGACAAATAAATATAGCTATTTGTAATTAATTTAGGGCTGTAATAAATAGTTTTTAAAAAAAAATTCAAATCATATAAATATTTTATTATAGATTTACCTGACAACACAGATCGAGATCACCGATGCTTGCGATGTGTTTATATTTGGATGACTAGATTGCATATTTCGAACATTCCAAAAAAGTTGTTACACTTTGAAATTTTGTGCTATGTTTAAATGCTCATCATTACCTATCATTATAGCCTATCAAAAGTCCACTACTGAACATAGGCCTACCCTTTAGATTGCATCATTGGAGAGATATTCGCCATAGTTGCCGTTGCCACAGTTGGCAAGGTGGTTGGCAACTGCAGTTTTCTTTTATTTGAATTGTTATCAGGAAGATGATGTTGCCCTTCTACTGATTTATTTCCCGCAGTCACCTCTTATGACACCCCCGTGTTCAAAAAGGGTAGCGAATATTTTTACACCGCCACTACACAGTGGTTTATTTGGTCGAATATTTAATACGAATAACCCAAGTCTTAATTGCAGCTCTTGAAAAGACCACTACTGGCCATAGGATAGGACACTCAAAGATTAAACTTGTAATACTATCCGAAGACAAAGACTAAAGTTTTATGGCATTTACATTCATTGACTTCCGTATGTATTATATTATTTTTCGTATATGTTAAGAAATTAAAGTATGAAGTATATAACAATTGTACGAGCAAATCGGCCAAATTTGCAGAGAAGATTCAGAATAAGTAATGTAGGTAAATGGTGAAGAAAAATTATCTCAATCTCAATATTTAAAATAAATCTCAAACATTCTATCCTTTTCTACCGACTTGAAAAAGGAGACGGTACTCAATTCGACTGTATGTTCTTTTATGTGTAACTCATAACTTTTTACTGGGTGAACCGATTTCGATGTTTCTTTTTTTATTTGAAAGCTGGTGCTTCACATGTGCTCCCATATAAATTTTATCAAGGTTTGATCAATAGTTTTTGAGTTATTCTTAATAATTTACATTGAAGTCGGTTGTACAGAATTTTTTAATTTTAAATTATTTTCTTTTAAGTTCAATATGCGTGGTAATGCATTATTTTAAATGATTTTACTGCGTACGCACACATTCGTAAGGATCGATCGGTGGGCAAAAACGTTGTTGCCCATAAATCACATTCAATTTGGGATAATTTCAAATAAAAGTAGAAGCCTTAATTACTCGTATTTCAAAACTGTAATAGCGATATATCATTCTTTATATATTTTAACTTAAGTTTAAAATTTGGCTAATTTTTGCAAAATAACCCTGTATAAAATCTTTTTAAGGAATACTTACAGTAGAGTAATATACATACAATCAATAAAGCAATATATAAAGCATCTTAGTGATCTCGTCTGTAATGTTTTAAGCAAATGACATGCAGTTACCTGTGTTTAACGCAATAATTAACATAGTGTTTGTAAGAAAATACATCACGATGTTACAATAGTAGAATTCTGCATTTTGTTTTGAGTTATATTGTTTATTTTAATTATTTCTATCATCTGCTTCATACAATCAATTTTTAAGCTTATAAATAAATACTTTGTTTAACTACTCTCACAGAACGTATAGGTGATTGGAGTATAGGACAAATTCATGAATTACATGTCTAAAAAGAAAAAATTTGTTAAGTAAACATGTTTTAAACACCTGAAGATATTGTACGGAAT